ATAAATATTTTCACTTTTAAATCAGTAGTGGTAAGTATAAAGTAGTAATTATTGACACATAAAGTATAAACATAAATATAAAAAAAAATTCTACTGGAAATTTATATTAATACGTAATGAGTATTGAAAATCCAAATTTTTACATTCAATATTCACTCATCAATAACTATTTCTCCTGAATTTTCAATATTTTGTTGTATTTCAAAGCAAATAACAATAAATACATGATATTTTGAATAAATATTTATGTTATTATTTTAATTTTATGATGAAATTTTCAGAATATTCTAACCCTTCTTGAGCTATTTATAGACCTAATAAGTATTCACTTTGAAATTTGCAAAAATTTCAAAAACTACATGCAATTCTGTAGTTATAAATTCATAAAATCTTTTATTTTTATTTTTAAATTTTTAAATTTAATACAAGATTTCCACAGTATTTTTTATACTAAAATTATAAACTCTTAAAGACAGATATATGAAAGCAATTATGTTTTATAAACATTTTAAATTTAAAGTTGGACAAAATTACTTATTTAAATAATAAATAATTATGTAATATGTTAATTATATTGTTATAATGTTTTATTTACTATTATGAATTTCACTATGCGCAATGACCATTTTGTTTTTTTATTTTAAGATATTTTCTATTTTAACTGTTAACGATATTTAAAGAAAGGTGTTTTTAAATTTGAAGTTATTTGAGTTGATGTAATATAGCATAAAATAAAAATAAATATTATTATAATAGTTAAATACTATTAATACGGTAAAATATATTTACCTATATAAAAAAATATCAATCTACCATAGTATTAAAAGTAAAATAAATGATTTTAATAGCTATGTCAAAAAACGCATCATAAAATATACTGAGTGATTTTGACAGACAGATCATCTCCACTCAGGATCGTTTTTCGTATTCAATGATATATCATTAAATTCAAATTTAATATACACATAATAGTGAACTACTCGACACCTAATGTACTTCAGAGTGGTACCCATTTGTCAATATTTTTTTTTCAAATATTAAATATCATCTATATTTGTAGAATACCTGGCTAATATTATATAATTATAACTTTTATGACCAGATATTGATAGAAAGGGGAGAAGGGGAGGAGGAGAGTTTGAGTATAATGTCGTAAACAGTTATCGATCCTCCAACGGTTATATACTCGTATTATTTATAAATTACACATAGTTCCGAGCAGGGCACGATTAATAACTATGAAATTTGACACCAGGCCTGATTTTTATGTTAAACAAAAAAATTTAATGTGTATAATACAAAATAATATGAAGTGGATATCAACTAGCTATTTTTTTTATGATATTTAAGAATACTTATAAAAAATATGTTTTATGTCCATTTAAATTTTTTCATTTCATTTTATAGTACCTAAATGTTATTATTGTACACTATTTCAGTGTCGTGGAAATTGTATGTAATTAGGCTAAGCTCTGAATTTAGTTTATATTTCAGTAGATCATAGTTTATGGACATTAATTGAAGAAATTAATTTTGGGGAGAGTAAAAAATATAAGTTAAATCAGTACATTAAGAAATTATTAAGTACAAAAATATAACACAATAATACCATTTATAAATAAAATTTATTCGAAAATAACATTTATTTTAAGCACATATACTATGTGAAATATATGTATATTATTTTATATTGGAAATTATTAAACATAACGAGTGGGTAACCATAGAAAATTAAATCAAATAATAATTTCCAAAAGTTTTATTTTTAAAACATAATATATTATTATGGATAAATTTAATGTATACGGTATATAATTATAAAATAAAGTTATATTAATTCACTTACTTTAGATCAAAAATATTTTTTTCTTTACTTTTTAGAATAGTAAATTATATTACCTGTTTCCTCGTATATTTTATTCATACACCATTGCTGAACGTCTGCAATAATCTCATTTTTAAACTTTAAAAACTTTAAAGTTTTAACAATTTATTTATAAAAAAATAGATTTTTTTTGGTAGTTTTAAAAAAAGAATTATATTGTTATCTATTTTTTTGCCCTTTCAGATTTTATCAAAACGGTCAAAGATATCGTAAAATTATTAAAATTCTATGCTGGTATGATAACATCTCTATTGCAATTTTTCAAGCAAATTTTCTAAGGTATTTATACCAAGTTTCATGAAAAAAAAATGATTAATTTAACCGTTCAATAAAATTTAATGGATCAGGGACGTACACAGAGGGGTGTTTTAGGTATTCAAACATCCTCCAAAACATTTAATTATGTGTATGATTATTTACTAAAGCAAATAGGTACTCTAAAGCAAAATAAAAATTTAATACTAATAAATTAAAACTTAAATATAATTTTAAAAAAACAAAAATATTTAAACAGGATTTAGAAATAAAATAAAATTGTACTTATTGTGTATTGGCATATTTCCTATTAGGTATACCTATTGTGTATTTCCTATATTTATTAAAAAAAAAAGTTCTATTTTTTAATAACTGATTTTCAAAAACACCCCCCCACCCCAAAACTTTTTTTTGTATAGATCCCTGTAATGGACTAATCACGGGTCATTAAATCATGATTGAGAAACCATTAGCTCACTATTAATTCATTAAATGTTTAATGATTGTTCATGAAACCCTGCACAAGCTTGACAAAAAGCTTTCAAGTTGAATGACCATGTTAAAAGATGTAAGCAGGAAATTTCAGGGCATAATGCATTATATGTAGTCACTGGTCGTTCAAAGATTACTATAATGTAATTGAAATATAACCGAGCCACATAAATTGAATACAAATATTCTAAGTAGATGCCTATTATTGAAATATTCTTTATGATCAACTTACGTTTCATTTATTGTTTCGATATATACTAACACATTGTGATAATTAATGCATGATTTTGTTTTACATTTTCAAAAAAAGTTATTAGTTTTATAAGTTTTAACGTTAAAATACAATATATTTAAAAAATAAATAAATACAGTGTAATATACTACAATAATCGCGGTGAAGAATATACATCTGACGACGGTACATACTTAAATTGAAACAACTATTTTTTCTTAAATCTTTAGTAAGTAATTATTATAACTTTAAATTTAACAAGCAATGTGACAACTCAACTTTAATATGTTATTATAATTAAAATATTTCACGATAAAGTTAAATATTTTTCGTATTTATAAATAGTTAATTTAGCATTGTTTTATTTATATATTAAATTAATAAAATTAATTACCTACATTTTAATTAATATTTTTTTATACTCTGTATTAATTTTACTGATAAATTTATTTGTTTTTTTTATTATTTTATCAGTATTAATCTATAATTTTAGATCTCACAGCTATTAATTCACCTTAAGCTCTTCAAGTATTAATTACAGCTCTGTTCGAAAAATATACTGTTCTTTGGCGATATAATTTTCATTTTTTAGAAAGAGAACTAATCTTCTTTACTATAAATTTTTAAACACATGATTTTTTTTAAATGTCGATTCATCTAAATTAAAATTTTAAACAGTATTACCTGTAGTTTCTTATTAAATTCTATTTATTAAATGTAAAAATCCTCAGTAAATTTTTGAATTTAACTATCAAATATATATAATATTTAGTATACGTATTTATAATACTCAGTAAAATTTAACTCATTATAAATTACTAATAAATTAATAATAGTTACTATAGTTATCAAAACATCATAGCCTGCATATTTTTAGAATAAGTTCATATGAAGCTTTATCATTTAGAAATAACTCAATCCAATTTCGATTGATACATATCAACATTTAAAAATCTAAAAATCATCTGCTTGTTTTACAGAAAAATAGAATGATTTTAATTTAAAAATATGTTTATCGTCAAAATACATTCATTAAATGGCAGAAGAGATCAAATTATTTTAAAATTTTGCCTTTAAAAATACTAAAAAATATTAACAATTAGAATTTTAATAAAATAGCTAATTATCAAATTAACAATAACACAATATTCCATAGAATATAAAACTTTACTAAAATATAATTCATATTTTTTAAAAAGCACATTTCGAACTTCAATTCATATCGTTGTTTTAACCATAAATTTAAATTGTTAATATATTAACATTTTCGGTAGTATTAAAACGATAAGTGGGTAGGTACCTACAAGGATAATAATGTAAACAGAGCATTAAAGCAAACTACCTAACTTAATACGAATTATAATTTATATTATGTTATATTATAATATTCAGATGGTGTTTTTTAAGTTTACGATTTTGATACTAATAGATATATAAGTATATAACCATTTAGTATTTTTAATTTTATTTAGTATATACTCGTAATGTTGGTTTATTGGTGGATTATGATTTAATCTTACACTTTAAAAAATCAAACCACTAAGAACAATAAAATATAAAATTTTCATTTAACACAATCTCAAGTTAATTTTAAACACAAATCAAGTACTTGTAATTATTCTAAGAACCACAATGGACTTTTGGATAATCTTAAATTACCAAACTCCAAAACATTAACAATGGTTAGAATTTGTTCGATTATAAGTATTTAGGATAAATTATAAATATTTTATACCAAAACGATATTGATTTAAATACAATGAGCCATTTAATAATATCGTAATAATTGAAAGTATAATAAATATTAATCATATTCTAATAATTAATGATAATTTTATCTGTTTTGTGTATACACAATAGAAACACTAATAATTATAAAACTTATAACTAACTCTTATATAAACACAAGTTATGTTTAATATATATGTAATATTTTCATTATATTTACTTAGTTAACACAAATTATAAATAAATAATATTTTTATCAAAAATTTAAAATTTGAAAACGAACTAACATTATTAATTTAATCTGTACAGTTAAAACTAAAAAACATGCAATGTTCTATTTAAAATTTAATAATAAAAAAAAACTGCATTAATCTATCAAGCCAATGCAAAATCAAATATATAAATTACATTAAATTATAAAAGCAAGCGCTAAACTACAGCACTATTTCTGCCCTACTTGCCATCTTCACTTTTCAATATATTAATAAAAATACTCTGATAGTAATTATTCACATATAATTTGGATGACTGTACACAGTACTTGACGGTAATAAGGGAAAACGAGATAAATCAATAGAAGAAAGAAATTGGGATGAAATAGTTATATTATGTTATCTATTTAGAATATTTAGATTGATAACATTGAATTATTAGGATATCCCCAAAAACCATTGTGCTGACTGATTTAAAAAATATATATTATTACTACAAAACTACTACAACTAAAAATGTATCAATTTTGATTTATGATTATTATATCTATCTTAATGTACTTAAAAATAAGCTAAAAATGATGACAAGAAGAAAATTAATCTAATGTATTATGGGCTGTATTTTTTTTATTAAAAAGCGTGTTGATGATTTTTTAATTGTTTGATTGCCTCTAAAATAATTCTACTAACGTGTATTGAACACCCAAATAATTTATTGCTTTATATAATTTTAAGCCATTTCGCTGAAGTATGCCCGTTACATTTCAATATTAAAAATTTATTACAATAATTAAATCATCTTCACTTTATTGGCTAGTCTAAAATAAAAATATTAAAAAACAATTTAGTTAATTTTCTTTTTTTTTTGCTAATTTTTAAGTATGGTAGATAAGTTTTAGATGTATGGAATACATAAAATATGTTATAGGTACACATATAATATTTATCTACATGACTAGTATCGGCTTTAAAATTTAAATAACTATACATATTTGATATTACGATTATATATCATATTATTATCAAATTTTATTATGTGTTTGAGTAATAACTACTGAAAAAGTTCTCAAATATCGTGTTTGATATTATATTATTATAAGCTTGTAGATATTAATAGTTTACTTATTTGGATATAGGCACCTATTGTAAGGATGGGATATAATAAAATTAATAAATCAGTTATTTTGGCACATATCATTGGTATTACATATTTTTTAATTAAATTAATTAATAAATAATAATTATGACCGAAATTGTTTTACAACTAGAAATTATTTAATTAAAAATTTAAAGTTTAAATGTATATATTATGTATATATCATCACCGTCCATCTGGCGGGCTTCAAAAGTCCAACAATCTGGTTTCAGTAGAAGTTTTAGAAATTGTGGCCTAGTGTAATATATAATAACAGCAAAATATTACTATAATATATTATTTAAAAAATAATTGAACTAACGATTTTTTTCTTAATGTTCAAATTATAACTTTTTTTAAATAATTGGTAAATAAATAAAAATATGAGTTACCTAGTCAATAGATAAACTCTTAAATGTTTATAATTTATAAACAAACAAAAGATATGGTATAATATAAGTGTAATTTAAATATTAATAAATCGTTAGTTCAAATATAATATATAATATACATAACATCAAAATATTTTTGATATTAAATTATTTTTATTGGTTAACAGAACGAAACAACACATACTATACTATGTTAATTAAATAAGACTAAACTGCAATGTTTAAAGTTATTTAAAATCAATAAGATTAATTAGTTAAATATTGTTTTCAATAACGATTATTATAGCTTAAATGACTTTTTTATTAGTTGTTTCTTAAAAATATATAATTGTAAGGGTGCCAATAACTATTTAAACATTAACTATTTTAGTTTCTACGTAAAGTTCTTAATATAACTGTAAAGAAAAATAACTTTAAAAAAATTGTATTTAGTTTTACATAAAAAATATATCAATTATGAACTATGAATACTATGATACACCAACACATATTTTTAGTTTTAAAATATTATCATTAATTTCTTTGATTTAATTTAAAAGAAAATAAATCGTAAATAAAATAAATGTAATTTCTGTTAAATCTAAAAAGATTGAACTAAAACAAATACCTACGTAAAATATGTGAACTTATAAATATATTTATATTGACACGATAAATAAAAAAAAATATTCTACTGCCAATTATTATTTATAAATATTACGATAATGTTTATACTATAATATAGATCTATAACTGGTAGTGAAGACTAGATAAAGAGAGAGAAAAAGAGAGGTCCAATATTATACTATATTATATTCTAATTTCGAAAGAAGTTAAAGCGATAGGCTTAAAAAGTTCTAAAAATAATGATATAATACGAACATACATTTTTTTAAGAGATTATTTCTTGTTATTTGGTTTTATCGAGGAATTTCAGTGGAATATCTGTTAATGTTCAATATTGCTTGATACCTCCTCGCGTTATTAAAACAGTTTCCGTTAAAAAACACATTTCACATTTATTATTATGTATTATAATAGTTTAGTTAGTGTATACATACGAATGTGAGTTAATCGTAGAAAACGGAAAATCACGTATATATTATAAAATATTGAATTTGTATGCATAGAGTAGATAAGAGTGTAAAATTACCAAAGTTTAACAAAATTAAAAATACAGAATTTCAATCCCATTATACTGTTTGTTTTAGGGCGTATTTATGCAACTTCCCATAACTTAACTATACTATGGCACACTGGGTCATTGCAAATGCACCATAAATGGTAAAAGGAGTAAACGTAGGTAATATTAATTTTAATTTCTAACAACAATGCATGCGTAAACTTATACTAGTAAAGACGTGAAAACACGGATAGCTGTAGGGTGTTTATGTGTAATATTATTTTATGAGCGTTTTTGTACATAATTGCAATATTATGTGATCGATTACCGACAGTTAAATGCACGGCCAAGGGGATGTTATTAGTTTATTATTGTTACTGTCATTCAACCCGGCGAACCGATATGGAAAGCGCAGGCAGTCGTATTTCAGTGGTGCATGCGGTGGACGCCAAACTGGCACTGGGTCTCACCTGGGTCACCAGCGTCCTCCTGGTGCGTATATTGAACGCTCCATATACGATCGGGTTCATACACGAATTAGTGCATGCGAACATGAAGAGCGCGTGCTGTATCTTCTGATCGACCATTTGCGCCGACTTGTAGTCCGTCCAGTACCTGCGCAACAAAAATCACCGTGCGACAAATTTAAAAAATAAAATAAAAAGTTATTAATAATTTAAGTACAGTAGATAATTGTAAAAATTTAAGAACACGCGTTAACTAATAATACGATAAAACTTGCTGTCCTATTTATAACCATTTTTTATCGACTAATGAATCTCCAATAAAAACCACTAGCTTGTTATTAAATTTTTAAAACTCGTTATGAACTCAGTAAAACACAATAACTGAATATAATCACTGAACAGTTCAAATAAAAATTATCACATATTACTGGCTAAAAACTTTTAACTTATTAATATAACATTCTGTATGATAGGCTATAATTAATTGAAAATTATATTGATAAATTTGAAATAATCAACACTGCGTGGTATTTTTAGCGAAATTTCATATTATCATAATGATATTTTAACGGTTTTCGTCAGTGAACTGAAAACGAATATTTAATATTAGCGATAACATAATAAAAATGTCTTGTTAAGTTGTACGTATGTTAATATGTTTGGGATAGAAATTCAAAGATAATGGTAAATGTACTGTGTATATTGTTTTAACACCAGAGAAAAAATTTAAATAATATCAGGTCAATCTTAATAAAAATTGTATAATATGTTATTTTACATTTCATTCTGAAATAAGCCTTCGTTATAAACAAAGAAAGGTTTATCTTATTTTTATAATTATACACATGCATTTAAAGAGAAAGTCAAGTAAAATTATTTGATATCATACCTACATTAATAGCTTCTTCTTTTTTTTTTTTTTTTAATATAAATTTAGTGTTCATAAATAGTTGTATTTATACCAGATAAATATAGTTAAATAATTTCAAGTTACAAAATCAATATAAAATCAAAAATAAAATAGTTGAAGTTGAACTGACTTTTTGTATTTTAAGGGTATTACTGTATTAGGTACAAGTCTCAGCTCATAAGATTCAGCAACACTATATTATGAATACAAATGAAGAAAAAACAATTAAGTATGTGCTGAGTTATCTTTTCTGTAGAGTATATTAACTTCCGTTAGATCTAAAGTATTAACCGTAGTACAAGATATTATTTCCTGAACATCTTTGAAATAATCTTTCAATATAATATAATATCATATTATTTAATGTTTAAAAATATTGAATTAAACTTCGTGAAAATAGTAATGATTTTTTTTTTTTTGAATTATCAAACATAAATTATGTTACCAGGGTAATTCAATATGATACAAAATAATTCTTTTAAAGAAAAACACTCATATTCCAGGAAAAGTACAAAATTATAAATATATTGCGAATATTTTAGTAAAAGTTTCAAAGATAAAAATCAAACTGCGTATGCATATTTAATTAGTTATAACTCATAAATAAAACATGGATTGTATTAAATTTCATATTTCATCTGGTTAAAAAATGTAAACATTTTGTTTTTAATAACTTAGAATAATGTTTTAAATATATAAAACTTTTCTCAAAAATAAGTTTTTAAATTTGAAAAATATCTGTATATAACTACAGTGATTTATATTATATATAATAAAAATTATTTTGCCGAAGTCAATAACTATACAAAGTAATCAATAAATTATAAATATATAACCACAACACGTTTTCGTACTTGACAACTATTATTATTAATTACTGAATTTGGGTTTGATTTCCTTTTACTTTTTTATTATTCTTAATTCTCTCTTTGTGTTGTATTGTTGGACTGAAATGTGTAAACTACATATTTTTCTATATGTCATCAAATGTCAAATACTATCGTACATACGCCATTATAGGGTAATATTATACGAAGATAATGATTTGATAAACATTTATACCTATACAAATCAATGACTTAAGAAACGATATATACTAAAAATACATAAAACCTATATACTTAATACTTATATACAAATTCCCGTGTCATGTACAAATCAACATTTACTGTAAAAATACAATTTTCTGAATGCAATTTGTAACACACATTATTTTATATTGGTGAAATAAAATTTAAAATAAATGCGTGTCACATGTGCCATAGAGAAAAAACTTTTCTTTCTTTTTTTGGACATTTTTGATACAAGCACCATTATTTAGATATGTATATTAATACGGTTGGATTTATTATTACATATATAGTATTAATTATATCATTTTTAAATTGTTTTTATACTTTAAATCACCATCAAGGTTCAATACTGTGAATTTAATACAAAAATAAACTATGAAATATACATGCACTTGTCACTTATATACTCAAAATAGAAGAATACGCACTAAAAATTCTAAAATATTTGATATTATGCAGAAAATACTTAGTACAAATTTTAAACTTAACCTTACTGGAATTTACTACCAAGGAATTTAACTAAAGCCTTGAACTCACAAGAGAATAAGCCTAAGAAGATTATTAATTTACTCAAAAAAATTAACATGCTCAATACTATTTTTATATTATACCATATTTATACTTCAATAACATAAATAATTATTGTTTTTTAATTTAATTTTATAATTTTGTAAATATAAATAATTATTGTTTTTTAATCTAACTTTATAATTTTGTAACTCTTAGTAATTGAAGTCATGAAAAAAAATTAATTCAAAATGTTGTTTAGGCATGATGAGTACCACTAAATAATATTATTCGATTTTTAAAAAAGTAACATAATTAATTACAAAAAAAAAAAAAAAAAAAATGATGTAAAATGTAATTAAATATTTATAATACCTATTTAAAATTGATATCTTATGCATAAAACACCACAATATTAAAAATATTATTTTTTGATAAAACAATTCCAAATTTATTATTTTTGTTGTTAAATATTGTTTTATGAAAAAAATAAAACTACGTAGGTAATTAAAATGGTATTGCCTTAAACCAAATTTTTATCTCACATACTTTTAAACCAGCATGAATTTCATTGATGCGCAAAAAATTTACAGAATTAGTTATCAGTTAATAGGAATTCATCTATAATATATAGGTATTCTATAATATGTAAACATTTTATGAACATCTTGTGACAATGTGCGATTTTTTGTTAATTAAATGAGTAAATAATTTGTTTTAAAATAATGATCAATTTAAATGAAATTTTCATTTTTATGAAGACACATTCATAGTACAGTTTTATTAAATAAATTAAAGAACTTTTTTGTAATTTTTTAGGTAAATTATATTTTTAAATATAATTTAATTTATGTCATATTTTATTACAATAAATGTATGACTAATAATTTCAATTTGTAATATAATTGTTAAAAATAACTAATATGTAGTATTAAGATAGTTAATATACATTGTTTAAATACTGTTTAAGGTTATTTTTCTACTAAAATGTTTTTTTTATAATAAAATATTTTACATTATTATTAAAAAAAATATTTTGGACGAAAACAATAACTTTAAACATTTAATGAAAAAAATCCCATAGCCTAGGCATTTCTAAAGTTATTTATTACCAGACAATTGTTTTATATTAGCTTAACATTAATATTAAAAAAAATATAATTAGTTAATATTAGTGTATTGACATAGTTTTAATTTCCACGTTCGTTCATTTATTAAGGACCATATTTACATTATAATTTGATATTCAGTTTAATAAATGTGTAATAAACCATATGGTTTTATAGATTTAATTTGAAATGCAAACGTTTGTTTTTTAAGTTAATTTTTATATTATAAACGAGGTTCACCTCGTTAAAGTTCACGTTATAACCGTAAAAATACTTCGTTAACAAGGCCGCGTCAATAAAAATAAAAACAAAAACAAATTGATTAGAGGATAGAGTTAAGAAAAGGTACCCCACTGGGCGTTATCCAACTTATCAACATCATCACTCTCTACGGGGTAGCAATTTATTGAACACGCAATTGTTGTCAAAAGTGTTAACTATATTTATTATTGTTATTATAGAGATACCTATTTTCATGCACTCATAAAAAATCCTTGAAAACAATAACATTAGACAACTAAGAAATAGCCACATCGGAGTTTGTAATCTGTACCTTTCAAAAACTGCGCACCTATGTGATAGAGGAAGTCGGACCATATTATTGAATCTGGCGGTTACTATTATTATCTCTCGTATAGGGTGAAAATCGAGTATTATTTCAAATGTCCAATAGGAAACAGCTGTCATCCTTAATGGAATGATCTTGTTAAAAAAACGTGAGTGGAAAAATAAATATTGAAAACTTTTAAGCTCGTATAGCACATAAATAGTAATAATATACCAAAAAAAGCATTTTCCGTGTTACGTTTTCTAGTAAAAAAAAAATTTATACATATTTTAATCAAAAATAATTGAATTATGTTTTTAAATATCCAACGTTATGTTTATAAAGCTCTTCATTTTCCCTGTAATGGCGTACAATCCATTATTTAGAAACATTAATATTAAAACAGGGATTTATGCAAATTAAATAAAACTGTTGGTATAAAATATTGAAAACTATGATAAATTGTTGTTAAATAATATAGAATGTACAATTCTAAATCAATTCAATGAACTATCAGGTTGTAAATCTATTTTATACGAAATATTATAAAACAGTGTAGGTATATTAGTTAACTATCAATATTCTGTTTATGTTTGCCAGTAACTCTGAATAAAATATTGATAAGTTTAATAAATCTTCGGTCAAGTGGTACTACTGAGTACCTTCTTTCCACCCTATAATTTTCCAATTATTAAAAAAATAAAATACATATCATATAAAAATTAATTAATACAATTATAATTATGCATTTTAATAAAAACAAAAACGTTTGATAGATTTATGCTGTGTATTAGAAATGATATAATAAGCATCTTTGTAAGAAATATTTTACTTGTTTCTAATAATCATAATTACTATTTTCTTCTATTCATATAGGTTTATGCCTTATTATTTTTATTTTTATATTTATAAACCTCTCTTTAATATAGTCATTTTCATTCTGGTGTCCTCATATATGTTACAAAATACTTTTTTTAATTAGAATTTATTTCCATAATAAAG